ACAAACTAGCGGCCGCTGTTCCGTATACTTGTGGTTTAAGAAACAAACAAGTGATAATTGGATAACACCTCAATCGAATCGGCGAATAGCTGTGTTATCTCGGGTTTGCTGAGAACCAGGCTCTCCGGAGTTGGCCCCCTGTGTTTTCTGGCTGTTACACTGAAAGTTCTCAGGAAGGCAGCTGGTTCCTTATGCTCCATAGTTTCTGCCTGGTGAAAGCCTGGCCACGCCTTATGTCGGTAAATGCGGGAAACCTATAGTAGTAGTCCTGAAGTCTGCATAGTTTACAACCTCCCCCCTTTTCGTTGGCTGCCTTAACACTTTGACTGCGACTCCCAAAAATAGCCCGTAGTTTGCCATTTGCGTGTACCACATATGGCACACGTCGCATTCAAATTGTTAAATGTATTTTAAACGTCAGTATTCGAGCACCGTAAATGTAGAATGGATTAAAAGAGTATAGGGTGACTAAACCTCTAGGCTCTTCATGCATAACGTATGCAGCATGAGATGGAAGTCTTCTGTTAAAATGGACGATGTTCTGTTATGACTGTTGCTTTCAATGTGAGCAAGGCACAATGTAAACAAAAAGTGCACCCGAACTCACGCGTCATGTTCAACGTTCCCTTTCCAAATGAGGGAAGGGCGTTCTACCGCGTAGACAAAGTGTTCAAATTTATGAATAAATGCGAGGGTTCGCGTGAAGGTGTTTGCATGAGGAAAGAAGAAGGCTGGTCAACCACGGTAACAGTTCGTTTATTGCAGGAATTTTAAAAATGTTCCGGTGCTGGATCAGCCTTCTCCTTTACTCATGTTCAAATTTATGTCAGAAGTCAACATCAAGTGAGTCGTACTTTGTTTGGGGCAGTCCTGCTATATAGTTTTACAAGGAGCATTTGTCGACAATCTACTTAGGGCTGCTGCAGAATGCTCTGTCTGAAACATTTTAGAATAATTGGATAGGACAGTCTCATCTGATGGGTTTGTGACGTCTCAGCGCCTTTCTTTCATGCTGGAACTGTGTCATCTGTATAAAAATCAAAGACAGTGGCTCTCTACGGCAGAAATGGGCTTCGCATGTCCTGAGTTATCATCTCACCAAACTTTTTGATGATATTTGCCAAATGCAGATAAGTTAAGGACAGTAAAGGATACTAGAATTCGAAATAAGAAAATCCGCGGAGTTAAACTTTCCTGTATACGGTTGCAGTGTTTTGATTTCTCCAACATCCACCCACAGAAATAGCCCTGTCATCCAAATACCCACGTTTAAGAAAATTGTTAGCTAACAGCAAACCACAATTAGCAAAATTGGATAAGTCCAGATGAGGCACGAAGTCTAAGGAGGAATAGGTTAAAATACCAAAGATTGCTAAGGGGTTGTGCAAGTAAACGGTCGGCTTCACCTCAAGCTATGTAGATCTTGGTTCACAAGATTCGCTTACTTCCTGCGACTGAGAGCGAATTCCAGGTCCTCTGTCCTTGGGAACTGAT